AAAAAAAAAAAAAAAATTCAGATTTGGATGTCTCTAATTTTAGAGCTTCTGGATTCCCTGGTCCTGAGCAGTACCTGGGATCTGCATTTCACTTAGATGTTGGTCTTCTCTCACTCTGAGAAACCTGGATTTTTGTTATCTGTGTCTAGCCTATTTGGAGCCCCAATTCTGACTTGTAGAAAGTAGTGATTATGACTGAGGCTCTAAGTGCAAGAGAGTAGACATTTCCAAATGCTCTCTGCATTCAGGGTTTTCCAGTGCACTGTGCTAAGATTTGAACAGGAAACAATTCAAAAGAGAATGAGCCCCGACGCACTCTCATGCCATTTGAGTGTCCTACATTGCTTTCCATATTACTTAAGTAAATATGCCCAACCGCCTATGCAGCTCTCCACAAGGAAATCATATTCTGGCCTTCAGCAGCCCTTGATCTAAGAAGTGTCTCTTTTAGAAGACATATGGACATGCCAAGAATTCTAGGCTTTGACACTGGGTCATATGGTTTAATCTCCAACCCACGCCTGGGAGGAGTGTGAGTGAAGTCACTCCATATTGTCTTTCATTAGCTACAGATCACATGCCTTACTGCCCCAAGTCATTGTAGAGATTTAGAGTTGGCTGATGGCCATATATCAGGGAGTTGGACTCAATGAGAGGTTCCCCCGGCTTGAAGCTTGGGTTCATGATGAAGAGTACCTTGACATTTTTGTCCTGCATTTTCTAAATTAGCAGGCCAAGCTCAGGGCAATTCCCCGGGGCTGGATGCAATTCATGTAGTCATTTTGTTGGAAACAGTCTTTCTAGCATGAAATTATGGGTCATTCAAAAATTCCTCAGTCCATTTTACTGTTGACAGCTGATTCTTTCTCAACTTTTTTTTTTTTTTTTGCAGCCCAATTCATGTGGGCAATCAGATGTGCTTCAGTATTTAATCCAAGATGGAAATAGTGACCAAAAGAAAAAAAGAACTTGAAGCTCTGAGTAGACCTCAAAACCAAAACCCAACAAAAATATTTTTCTGCCTATTAGCATCTTAATAAGATTGAAGTTGAGCCTCTAACTCACTGGTTTTTAATTTGGCTCCAGATACTGCTTTTCTGCATGTCACATTGCCTAATGAGAACAAAAGAACAAAAAACTTGCAGTGTCATTCTAGTTTGTTCTTTGTCCTCATTCTCCAAAGCAGACATAACCCTCTTTCTCTCTGTTTCTTTCTGTCCCCCAGTGCTGGAACTTTGCCTGTTACCTTCCGTTGCCTAGAAGAAAATCTAGGGATCGATAAGCGAGTGACCAGATTTGTCCTCCCAGTTGGAGCAACCATTAACATGGATGGTACAGCCCTTTATGAAGCGGTGGCCGCCATCTTTATTGCCCAAATGAATGGTGTCATTCTGGATGGAGGCCAGATTGTGACTGTGAGGTGAGGAAATGGATGGGGGCAGGGCGAAGGGGGATGGGGACAGCAGAGTGACCACCTTCTACCCTGTTGCATCTCCACATTAACTCCATTTGACAGAGGCTATTTGAATTTCAGTTTTCCTAGTGGATGAAGGAAATAACAGAAGAGGAATTGTTGGCCACCCTAAGGGGAAAGGTTGTGACAGAAAAGCAGCAGACTCATATGAATCTCTTCTGTTTGTATTACACATGTTGACTGTATCCAGAAATTGAATATTATTTGATTATTGACAATCCTATGGTACAGGTAGGGCAATTATTTCTATGCCTATTTAATAAATAAGGAAACTCAGGCTACAGGAAGCATGGATATTTGTCCGAGGTTACACCACTAGCCCTGAGTTGACAGGGCTGAATCAGCTGATTCTGGATCTAATTTTTCTTTCATTAAATATTCTTCCTTAAGTATTCCAGGAAGTGATGGCAGAAATTGTGAAATGCTGGAAGAAACAATTCCTCAATATGACATAAAACATCTTATTACAAATAAATAGCACATATTTTTGTTTTTACTAAAGCTATTTAAAAAAATTCAGAACACTCCCAAGAGGTCATTAAAAATGCATTGCTTCTGTACAAACTTAAAGATCACATTTACTAGCCAGGCCAACTTTTCAGCTTCTTGCTTAGGTGTTATTGAACACATCAGTCTTCAAATGGTTCCTTGTATAGACATTATAGCATGAAATAAAACTCTTTGCAATCATCATTTTAAGATTATCATTCCCAGTCCAACTAAGAGTTCAGATAAGTTAGAAGACAATTTTTGGCTTTGATTAAAGTCAAACAAAACAACACACACACAAAAAAAAATGAGCTGGCTACTGGTTTTATTCATGTCCTGTTTCTACTCCTAGATTCTCCTTATCTGCAAATAAGGAAGATATTCAGAATTAGGAACTGTAAATTGGTAGCTCATGGGCTGAAGCCAGCTCAGAGTCTCACTTTGTCTGCCCTACAGTATGTTGTAAAAAGTTAGAATTTTACTGACTTGTAAGATGGGTTCTTTCCAGTTTTCAACAGCCTCCCTTGCTCCCTGTTATTTGTACCTGGTCCTTGTCACTACACCACTGTTTGGCTCTTTAAGACAGCTGAGTTTGTGACCTTTCGATTCTATGATTTACGTTTTCTTTCCTCCTCTGAGATTCCACGAGATCAGTAAATGCAGGAGACAGGAGGATCACGTTCTGTGCAACAAATGCACTTAGAGAAGGAAAATTTCAAAACCCGTGACATCCAAGTCCCAGGCCCAGTCTGAGAAAAACAATTAAGTAGATACTGAAACATACTTTTAGTCCCTAAAATGAGAGTAACTCCACTCTTTTGGAACTTCTGAGGTGGCAGTCTCTTTACATATGTCACCTTGAATGTCTCCAATAATCCTGGGGAGGAGCATAGTCACCATCTCCATTTTTCAGAATAGTGACGTGAGGCTCAGAGTATTTATATGACAAACCTAAGTCTCTATGGGTGCCAGAGGCAGGAGGCAAATCTACTCCATGACCAACTTCCTTCTGACTCATCATCCCTGCTTTCTGACTTTGACACAAAGGAAAATGCTAGAATCATTATTTGTTGCTTCCCCCTCCACTGGATGGTCAGAAGAGGCAGTGGCCTTTTGTTAAGATTAAGCTTTTTCCAAACCCCAGATAAGACTGTCAGCCTTTATTTCAGAAATGCTGGTGATAATCAGGTGTCTGGTTGGCCCACTATTTATTTGACAGATCATTCTCTGGGAGACCTTCAGTGGCCTATGGGTCACTTCAGGAGACTTCTCCTAAGAGATGGGGGGTCATTCATGTCTGATTTCTCTACAGGCTGTGCTTCTTGAACACTCCAATCACAAGGAATGACCAATGTCTACAGCAATACTGGAATTTGTCACTGGTCCGGTCTTTTGTGTGTTCTGCTGGCTAATATTGCCATGGAACCACGTGTCAGAACTTGGCTTGATCTATCCAGCTCTGAGGCGTTTAAGAAGCCCAGGGACATTTTTATAGACTCACCCATTTCTCATCTTCCCTTATGACTCTTCCAAAAGATTTGTTAAATATCCCATATGCATCTGAGCTCAGTTTGGCAATGAAATCAGAAAACAGAGAAAAGGAAAACTCACCATGTGTAACACACAATATGAAAACATAAATAAAAATGCATTCTCAGCAAGAATGCATCCGCTGAAAAGTTTCCTAGAGGCTGTCTTATCAAATGCCTTTCATCTAGTAGATAAGGGAAGGGAGGCTCAGAGAATAGGTCACACATAACCAGATAGAGAAATCTTCAAATTCAGGTTTCCCAATGCTTATGTGGGCTTCCATTTATTGAGAATGTTAACTTGTGTTTGTAGAAAGAGACCTGGAAAATAAGTGTTGGGTTTTATATTTTGCAGATGGAGAAAATGAAGTGCAGGAAAGTGAAATAACTTGTCTAATGAAAGTGGTAAAAATGGGATTTGAATCCAGGTCATCCACCTCTGGGGTCTGGCCTTTAACCACTGCACACAGTACCCACACTAGTCTAAGCTGTCGGTTTGCATATGTTAATTTATCTAATCCTTACAACCACTTCATGATGTATGCTCTATAAAGGGACCTCAGTTTCCTCATGTCTGCAATGAGGACGACAATCACACACTCCAGGGTGTTTGAGAGCATTGTACTGGTGTATCGTATAGTCAGCTGTCAATACACATGAGCTGTTAGAATTGTTACTATTAAAATACAACTGGACTCCTATACTATTTTAAAAAAAAATGTGGCAGTGACATAGCAAGTACTATGAGGTTTCTCACGATGGAAACTTTGCTTCAGGTCAGAGTCTGAAGCCTTCTACATCATGTCCTAACAGAGAGCATGTGAGACTGCCAATTCCCTTACTTTTAAACTCCAAGGGCTTAAACCCTTTACCAAGTAAAAATGGTTTCTGGTCCCTTGATTCCTGGTCTTGACGCAACCCTGGCTCCCCATCAAGTTCATTCTGTTAGGAATTAAGAGATGGGAGAATGAATCAGTGACTAAGTGATTCAATTGTGCTGGAATGATTCAATTTTATCTACGTATTTTATATTAATAATGATAGTGCTGAGAATTTATATTAATAATGAGAGTGCTGAGAATTTTCACTCAGGAAAGGATAAGGTTGGCCATGTATATTCAAATATCTGGTCTCTGGCAAGTGCGGCCAAACCTACCTTAATGGTAGATACCACAAGGGCTGCCTCTGGGGGACCTGCATAGGTGTGTTGCAGTTCACTGCTGGAAATTTATTTGGAGAAAAATAACCAAGTCCAGCTTTATGCTGTGTTACCAAGTAAATCCCTCATGCTTTCCTACCAAGGATCCCAGCATATTCATTAGGTCATAGAACTTCCAAGATGGGGGTGGGAATCAGGGACACTAAGAGCCATCAGGGACTTGGAATCAAGCTGATAGGTGTTCAAATCCCAGCAGACCATGTTCCAGCTGTGTTACCCTAACTTTCTCCGTCTAGCTAGTCCACTGTTTCCTCATGATGGAGCCAAGTATTGCCACACATGTATCTTGCAGGATTACTGGGAGGTTCTGCTTTATGTTGTGTATAACATAACATAAATGACCAGTCTCACTTCTTTATGACCAGTCTCCAGAACTGGTCATAAAGAAGTGAGTGGAAGGCCCAGCAAAGCAGAAAGGGTAGAAGGGCAGTATTGCCTAAGGAGACTTTGCAGCTGTTGCTTGGAATTACACAGATGCTGTGCCCATGAAGATATCACTGGGGTGAAGGAACTGACTCCCAGGAAGAACTTTCTTTATAGGATTTGTCTCACACAACCAAAAATAAGCCAGATAAAATGGCTACAGTGCAAAGGATGTGTAGAGTGATTCATAACAGAAGAAACTGATGCTGTAAATAAAATGCAGAGGCCAAGATCATTGGAACTTGGAAACATTCCCTTCCCTGCTATTCTGTGTTTCTTGAAGGAAATGGTGGAGAATTCCCACCTTCCAGTGCTGGGGCTTTGGGGAAGTTTCCATTGCAAAGCAGTCTCGCCCTTCCCCTGATAAAAATGACAATTCAGTTTTCCCAGGGAGGTACAGTGTGACTGGCCTCTTCAAAATGCATCTATCCTCACTAGTTCCTGAAAGCTTCCGGCTACCCTGTGCATGAGATACCATTATTGCCTCCATTTTTAAGATGAGAAAATCAAGGCACAAAGAAGTTAGGGTACCCAGAGTCAGGGGGGTTAATAAAGGAGAAGGCTGGGATTTGAACCTGGGTTGTTGAAGTGGAGAACTTTGAGAATCAGTACACACTGTATTTGCTGATGCAGATGAGTTCAAGGAAGATGTAGTTTTCTAAACCCAGATACCAGATCCACATTGATAGAAGGGAAGGGGAGAGCACAGAAGGGAACAGACACCCAAGACAGGTGTCTGCACTGACTGCGAGGGATGGCATTATGAAAAACTCAGCTCAACTTCACGGAATCTCCAAGGGCCTTCATTTCCTCCAGTGTAAGATTAGGTTAATCCCGGTCCCTTCTCGCTCCCTGTAAGATCCCAGGGTTCTGTTCTCAATGATGACCTAGGTTGGCTCTCATTCTGGAGGCCGAGTGCCTACTCTGGAATTTTATGACCGTAAATAAAGCAAACCCTCTTTTCTTTTCAGTGAACACAAAATCAAGTTGGGCATCCTTCATTTTAGAAGCGCCCTTCCTTTAGAAGTGATAGCTTTTATAAACGGCATCCGTGAAAGACATTGCTCTTTGCTGGCTGGGTTTCAGAGACCCCCCCTGGTGTCTAGACAGAGCACTTGAACCCTAGGTTAACCTCCCAGAGACAGACCTGGAAATGGCCTTGCTTGGAAAGAAGACAATGGGATATTTCGTAATGAAAGCTTTTCTTTATTTCATTATCGTTGCTTGGCACCTTCTTTCCGAATAATATATTTTCCAGCCCGTGGACAAGCATCCAGGCAACTGAAGCTTAATGTCATTTGAAATCTGTTGATTTCTTCCCCTGATGTCCACTCAGTTGGGTCTGGATATTTCCTATTCTGAGTTCTCATGTTAACATTGGCAATGACCTTCTCAGACTCTTGCCACGTAGTCCAAGCGACTCTGGTGCTTGTGGAGACATAAAGGCGTAAGCAGAAATGAATGCAGTTATGTTCCCGTGGGAGGGTTAGGGTGATTTATTTTTCTCCTTTAATATTTCCTTGTGCCTGCTTTTAGAGCTATAGTTACTTTATTTGAGCGCTGTGATCGGTTAGGCTAATTGGATACCATGATGAGAATAGGCTTCAATCCATAAACTTACAAGCTTCTATCACAGTTGAGCAGAATCCAAAAGAGACCCTAATTCAGTCCTTTGGACTTCTGTGATCCTCGGGGAGGAGAAGGGATTTTTTGGCTGGAGGAAAATTGGAATTGAAGATTTCCAGGGATGATTTTGCCAAGACTCTTCTTCCCATGACCTGGCCTTCTCTGTTCTCACAGCCTCACGGCCACGTTGGCGAGTGTTGGTGCAGCCAGTATCCCCAGCGCCGGGCTGGTCACCATGCTCCTCATTCTGACAGCTGTGGGCCTGCCGACAGAAGACATCAGCCTGCTGGTGGCTGTGGACTGGCTGCTGTAAGTGCCTGCAGAGGGGATTCTGCTGGGGGTTGTGAGTGCGGTCTTCCAGGGGTGGACAGGTGGCAAGGACACAATGGAGACCTTAACCAATCCCATGGCACCCCCTCCTCCCTGGCTGCCTCCCCACTTTCCTCTAACATTTACTGAGTGTCCACTTAGAAACTAAAGAAGAAAAAGAGGAAACTCTGAGGGTCTCACAGTCTAGTGGAGGAACCAGATAGACTGCAATACCAAGTTAAAAGTGAGTAGTAAGAAACAGACAAAAAAAAATCTCCAATTATGTATACAGAGCCAGATAGAAAGGAGCACATACCACATGATTCTATTTACATGAAGTTCTAGGAAAAGATAATATGATCTTAGCACTAAAAAGAGGTAAGGATTGCCTGAGTTTTGGGATAAAGGTGTAGAGATGAACTGGGAAGGGGCACAAAGGGAACCTAAGGAGTGATAAAAATATTCCATATGCACAGGAGTCTGCATTTTTCAAAACCTCATCGAACCAGGGACTGAAAATGAATATGTTCTATTGTATATAAATTACACCATAAAAACATATTAAAAATAGCACCCACAAAAGAGCATAGTGGTGGAGAGAGACATCCATTCCAGTCTAGGATGCAGAGGCACAATGGAGAAGGTCAGAAAATAGTGAAAATGGTTCCTGAATTTGAGTGCTCGCTCTGTGCTTGTATGTCCTCTTTTAACAATTGTGAAAGATTGGGGTTATTATTTTCGTATTATAGACAAGGGAATTGAGGCTCAGAGAGGTAAAATGATTTGGAAATGAACAGAGATTTGACTTTAGGCTGTACTGGGTTCTGGAGTCTGCCGTGTTCTTGTTCATGACCATATTCAAGCTATAAAATGCAATGAGAGCTGAGCTGAATCATACTCGACAGGTAGAAATTACCCAAGAATATGTAGTGGAGGGAAAGTCAAGACCAGCCTGTGCTGAGGCTACTAACAGTGTACCTAGACTGTGGGGACCTATAAGTGAGAAAGGCCAGGCAAGATGGACAGCCCTGAAGCTCTGCAGGGAAACCTGCACTTGACCTTGAACATGTAGCCCAGCCTCATTTCTGATGAAAGAAGTTTTCTGGCCACGCTTTGAAGGTAGACAAGTCTAGCCAGGTGGTCCCCAATAGGGACTTTGGAATGGACTTTCTCTATAGTCCACTTCTCACATTTGGGCACGACTGCTCTGTGAGAAGTACTCTGGTACCTCCTGTCCAGTTTGGGGGTTAAATGGTAGCAGTCTGAGCGATGCCTTGGATTTTAGTGTCAGAGGTGCAGAGTGACAAGTGCTGGCACAAAAGTCTGAGGCTAAAGTGTCCACACTGGCTTTTTTGAACAGCCTTATCCACCAGTGGCGATGGTCCTGACATTTATTGGCATGAATTTTTAAGAGCCAGAAGCCACACTTTATGGATTCGAGTTTGTACTTCCTCCCTACTTTCATGCTTCCAAAGAGAGAGAAAAAAAAAAAAAAAAAGCAAGAGACTGACAGGAAGAAGTACATCCAGGAAGGTAGAAGAAAGCCTGGTTTCTCCATAAAATGTGCCTGCTGGTGGTGCAGGCTGGGGACTTTACATTAGGAGAAAGAAGGGGCTCTCAGGAGGAGTCACGTTGTCTTCCTAACTGGCTCTTTCCTCATCAGAGAAATGGGTTGGAAACGGGAAGGTGAAGAGCAAACTAAATCATCTCAGATCTGCGTCTGTCCGTCTCTCAGCTACCAAGGGCTCTACTCTGCCAACTCGCCCTGTGTGGGCACCAAGGGGCAGACTTGCTCATGGCCTCCCTTCAGACAATGGCTGGAAGGTGCCCTTCCACCTTCCATTGGGATGAAGCTTGACAGTCCATGGTGGGGTCTGGGTGGGAAGGGTTGGGAGAGAATGGGATGAAGGAGACAAAGGAGTGGGGTGGGATTTAGGTGGGGAAGAGGCAAAAGAGAAATGAAGACCTTTTCAGTGGTTGCGGGGTTGAGCAGGAGCTCAGTAGTGTGTGCTAACCTTGACCGCAGATGCTGTGTGGCCCTCGGGGTCTTTCCACACAGAAGACAGGGAAGAGCTCCGATTCCGCTCCCTTCTTCCATGGCTTGCTGCTTCTTTACACCCTGGCCTCTTTGTCTGTTGAGTCTCTCTACTCATGTTGTCATCCAGGGTCCCTTGCCTGTTGTGATTACTTGGCCTGGTCTCTTCTCCATCTTGTTTCTGAGGCCTGAAGTCCACCAGAAAGAGATTTATCTTTTAAAAGGCTGCACCCCATCAGAATGCAAATGCCTTTGGGTTGAAAAACATTCAATAATATTTTCAAGAATGAGGAAAAGGAGCTGACATCCGGTGGGGACTGCAGTGCCTTTCCATCTGCTTTCATTTATCCCTTAAAGAGCTCCATGTTATATTTCACAGATGAGAAATGGGCAATCAGGAGGGTCAGTCTCTTGCAGAGGAGCATGTGTGGCCAGGTCAGAGCCCTTTACCCCACCCAGGCTGTTTCCTCATTTGAATCAAGTAGTTTACTGGTGGAGAAGAGGACCACAGAGATCCAGAGCTGGTGAGGCTAGGGAAGACATAACTATTAGGGTCCCTCGTACTTTGGTTTGGATGTCTTTCAAAACTCATGTTGAAATTTAATTTATATTGTATCATGCTGAAATTAAATTATATTCTCAGAATTAAGAGGTGGGAGCTTTACAAGTTGATTAGGCCACTAGAGGTAGGATGGGTGCCATTGTGAAAGGTGACTTTAGCTCCCTTCTGCCTTTGCCCTTCCACCTGCCACCATGTGATGATGCAGCAAAGGGTCCCTGGCCAGATTCTGATGTCTTTATCTTTCTGTTCTCCAGAACTGTGAGAAAATAATTTCTGTTCTTCATAATTACCCAGTCTCAGTAAGTGTTACAGCAGCACAAATGGACAGAGCCATCCCTGGTTCTTCATCATAACCAAAGATTTTTTTGTTTGACCTGTTTTCGCCTCCTTTCTCAGCATTAAAACAAAACAAGGAGCCTAAATGGGGACAAATGGGGCATGCTCAAAGTCACCTTTCACAATGGCCTCTCTTAGAACTCAAGTCCTCTGGCCCCAGTAGGTCTGACATTGTGGACCCTGTCTTGCTGGCAGGCATTTGCTCTCAGTTCTGTTGGATGAGTGTGACTTCATGAAACATTCAAGACCCTGCCTACTTCTGACCTAAATGTTAGCAAATGGAACCAGAGGGCTGGGTCCTCTGGGATCACCTGATGCAGGTGATCACATGCTCACGCTTGCACAGAAAAGCAGGGCTGACACATGGGAGCAGAAGGGAGTTGGCTGAATAACAAGTGTAAAAAAAACTGATGATATATTTGGATTATCTATATTGAAGAAATCATAAGAGAAAACTACCCTCTTCTAGAAAAGAGCACATGAAGAGCTCTTCTCTACTTCTCGGGTTCTGATCTCAGATGCGGGGAGAGGAAGGCATGTGGTTGAGGGAAAACAAGATACCAAGGGGCAGGAGACCTGGCTCTGAGCTCTGCACTTACTGTCTATGGGACCGGAGCAAATTTCTCACTCTCTGGGCCTCAGCTCTGCCATGTACACAATAAAACGACGACTTTGGCCTGAATGCAGGAATCTCAACCCAATATCTTTGGGTACCTTCTGGTTGTGAGTCCTGATGTTAAGATTCTGCTGGTGAAGGATGTTTGTATACAAATAAACATGAGTATTCCATTTAAGAAGGAAAGAAAAAAGGGAGGGTTGGGGATACTGGGAAGATAGGCATCTGAGCCTGTAGCTGGGTCAGGTCTGCTTTGAATTAGTAATGGTGCCACATTCTTTCTCATCAGCTGGAGGAGTTCTGGAAACGAGCTCTTAGGGTAGGCTCCATGGTTTTTGGGTGCTGGTCAGTGTGTAGGTTGGGGTGGGTGTTGAGTTAAGGTGGGGGAAGGGGGAGGTTGAGAGAGTTTCTCAGAAAAGTAGTTGGTAGAGGAAAAGCAAAGAAAAAGATGGGGGAATTTTTGTCCTCTTTAAACAAAGTCTGTACGCTTTTATAACTCTAGCAATTTTTCAGTCTAAAACCAAACAAAGCTTCAGTGACATTTAATGTGTCACAGTGCTTGCCAGCCGCTGGACACCAGCCAGCCTCATTACTGCCTGCGAAGCCCTGGATACTTTTCAATGGGCAGGCTTAGCTGGTCTGTAAATGTCATGGTGAAATCCAAGATTCCAGAGCCCTGAAAAGTGCCCGAGTCCTAGAACAACAGATAGGCAGGTCTGGTTAAAAGCAGAGCCTTCCCCTGGATCCAGGAAGCCATTTGTGTGGGGGAAACCCTTGGCAGCTATTTATAAGAGAGCTCACTGACACCCCCACCACAGAGACAGGATGGAGTAAAAACTGGGAGCCCATATCAGGGAGAGGTAGTAAGTAATTCAGTCTGGCTATAGGTTGAAAAGAAATCTAAACCCAATATCTTTGGGTACCTTCTGGTTGGGAGTCCTGATGTTAAGATTCTGCTGGTGATGGATGTTTGTATACAAATCAACATGAGCATTCCATTTAAGAAGGAAAGAAAAAGGGAGGGTAGGGGATACTGAGCCTCTCTTCCACACTCACACTTGATAGTGTTAGGACAGGTACAGTTGAGATGACCCACGAAGAGCCCCCGTCCTACAGGACAGACTCTGAAGCTCCTCTGAAGCCTCTCTGGAGGGAATAGAATTTTGGTTCTCAAACTTGAGTGTGCACCAAAATCTGTTGGAGAATCTGTGTTGGGGCTCAGTAATTGTCACTTCTAACAAGTTTCCAGGTGATGCTGATGATCAGTCCAGGGACCTTCCAGAAGCAAGGAACTAGAGATCCTGATAAGAGTTCCTAAGGGTGGGCATATAAGCCCCTCTGCTCTTTTTTGAGAAACTCTTCACAGTATCTGCATCCATTCAATAAAAATACTTCAAAAGGACACAGAATTCTAAGAGCTAATGTCCGATGAGTGTCCTTAAGTGTTACCT